TAAAAAGGGTAGCTGTTGGACAGACAAAGGCTTTATAGAACACTGTATTATGAATAATTTATAGTCTGGTGCTGATTCCGGATTTTCTGAAATAAAATTTAAAAAAAAACAAACAGAAAAAAACACTGTTTAAACGAAAATTTGAAATGCAATAGCTATATGATATATTGTGATTTGCCTAAATATCAAATATAAATTTACTATATTTTTCGTTCAGGTTGTTGGTGATCACTGGACTAAAATGTTGTAAAGTTTCTTGATTGCATTTTTATTAAATAAACTGTTTTACATGTAATAATTTTTAAACAAATATACTGATCACAAACTGTATCATCAACTATTTCTTGTATTAAATATATTAATAGTCTCATATAACATAAAATGCCTATTATATACATGTATATTCTTGTATTAAAATATATAACTAGTCAAAATTGATGCATAGTGTTGTCTTTATTCTATGTCTTATTAGAATTAAAGGGTATAAAGCTATATCTTATGAAATATTATTATAAAATTTATCAACAGTAAAATTATATTGGTTTCATTATTATATGGTTGATTCCCGAAAAAGTTGTACCATAGAATGTCTCTGTTATTTAACACACATGAATAATGTACATAAACATAATAAAATGTTCCGGAACAAAATATAATTTTGCTATTTTAAATAGGGTTTTATCCGTTTAGCAATGATTTTGTGCATGTGCCTCTTGCTTTAAGGCAATTTATTCATACAATCATTTTGGCAGTATTCGTTTTTAAAATCCAAACAATATTTTTGTATCAGATATATAGCTTTATACACTTAAAATAGAAAATCAAGAATGAACTTAATATTCTTTCTGACGATTGACAAACCTGAACCTGCGACAGCAAAAATATTTAAATCAAATAAGAGCATCTGAATGGGTAACTATCGGCGGAATATTGAAGGTTCGAATGGCATCTTTGGAATTGTACAGATCACCATCCTATTCAAATACAAGTAATGTGCACATTTTTTCACTTTTATAACAAAAAACAATGTTTTTTTGGGGGTTCTTTTTTTTAATGTTATTAAAGGCCAATTATACCTTTGACGTGCTTTCATTTTATTGATATTCAATCGTTTTTATTTCTAAGATTTTTTTTTCATTTTTGGTATTTTGTTACAGTTTCAAAAGACATACACATTTGTCTTATTTGAATTATCTTTTGCTTTCTTTGCTCTATTGGCAATTGGTATAATTAAAGTGAATAAATATTTTGTTTACATTTTGCTACATAAAAATAATGTCACATTACTTTCTTCAGTTGAAAAATATCTAACATGCTCTAAATCCATTATTAAAACATCATTAACCATATTTTTCTTGCGGTGCCGGTTGGATACAAACATGTACATTTAAAAATTACTTATATGTCAAATATTAACTTAACAATATTATATAAATAACACATGGCTGTAATTTTGCATTTTGCTAACTGGTTACTAAAGCATTATCGTTTTTATCAATACAGAGTTATGTAAGAGTTATGTACCCCAGGGTGATATAAGAAATATTCCACGGGAAATATATTCTAGGAGGGTGATATTCGATCAGAACACATTGTAGGCCTATGGGAGTTTTACATTGAAGGATATATTGAGGTATAATAATTATTGTATATTTTATTGAACAGATCACCTATAACAGTGATTTTACGGGTGATTTGCTTCTCAAACCTTCCTCGGGTAAGTCGAGGAAGACTTTCAAATATGAATACCAATTCTACACTTGTGTTCACCTTGACCAAGGCATCCTCAATTCGTCCTTAAGGAAGCCTTTCCCGAGTTTGAGTGGAGGTTGAGTTCGAGTGACGAAACTGAATATAGCTATAAGTGTAGAGTAGCGCAATGCAGATGTGTTTGTAAAACATGTATGCCCCCCTAAACACAGCCAATTTAATATTATAACATTAGATTTTTAAATGTGTATAGAAAATGCATAGTAAATTTGTTATGGAATACATGTATATCATTGCCATGGGGCAGAACCAATATGACCCATGGGTCATGAATTGAGTAAACCCTGTAGTTGTCAATGAGACAATGTTACACACAAAATATCTTCTAAAAACAAGCTTTTCGTGGTAAGTTCACTGTGACCTTTACCTTTGACCTACTGACCCCAAAATCAATAGGGGTCATCTACTAGTCATGACCAACCTCCACACTAAATATGAGGACCATCAGCCTAAGCATTGTCTAGTTATTGAGCGGAAATGGCATGGTCTACGGACCGACGGACCGACCGACCGACATGGGCAAAGCAATATACCCCCCACTCCTCCGAAGGGGGGCATAATAACTTATTTTATTTGACTTTTTTATCGTTGGTACCGGTTGCCCATATGACCAACGTCCCCTGAAGATTGTTAGTATATTATTTTTCGGGGGATAGTGCATGATACAGAAGACGCCCCGTTACAGAGGCGACCCTGGTTTTTTTAAGTGCCCGGTGTAAAGCACCAGTACAATGCACCTCGGTTTAACTTATTTTTCCCCTTTTAATAGTAAGGGAGATAGACTGTATCCAACAATCAACTTATTTTCAAATACATTTTTTTAACTTTTTTAACAATCTCACAAGCATCCCGCTAGAGTCCCGGTGGTCGGTCGGGTGATCCAGGAACAACCGGGGTACGTCCGTAACTCTGTCAGCAACGTCCGGGATGATCAAGGGCTCTGCCGGGGCTCTACCGGTGATTGTCGGCACTCTATCTGACCGTGCCGGGGCTCTGCCGGGATCATCCGGGACTCTGCCGACATCATCCGGGGCTGTGCTAGCATGGATCTCAGCTTTTATGATCTCTTTGATCGAAGACTTAACAGCGATTGAATATCGTGTTAGGTCATCCGTCGTCCACTTACTATCTGCATTATCCGTAGTTTCAACTGGACTCTGCATGGATGGCCCGGAGTTCATCCTGGTTGTTATAAGTATGGAAATTGAGTATCGCCGTAGTGCTACCGGGGTTATTGAGACTGCAACAATATTTTCATCCCGGATCGTCTGGGGTGGTCTTGGGCTTTGCCGGGATGCTGGTGAGAACGCTACTTAAATCGGTACTTTTTAATCCCTATGGAAACCTTTATAACTGGCTGATGCATTACTGTTGATCATAGAAATAAGTGCAATTAACATATGAAAAGTTGAGACATTTATCGTTAACCGATTTGGACATTTATGAGCACCTAATTTGTTGCGACATTTTTCGTTAATTTTTGGACATTTATCGTTAAAGGAGTTTTGGACATTTATCGGCGATTGAGACATTTATCGTCAATTTTTGGACATTTATCGTCGTTTGGACATTTTTCGACGTTTGGACATATATCGGCGCTACACACGAAATTGGAGAAAATATATATTTCAAACGAATTGCAAAGCCATAGAACATATATCAATGTATCACTGATTTTGTATACGCAGGTAACAAAAATTATCGGTTCGTGAAAATTTATGGAAGGGGATATCCGCCATTTCACACGTTCTTTTATTTGTTATTTGTTTCCAATGCTGCCAATTCAATTTCTATGTTGCTTTTTAGAAGTGCATTATCCATATTTGTATGTAAATTGCAATATTGCAATTATAACTCTACCTTTAATGTTGTAACCATTGAAAACTAATGGGTTTTTTTAATTCAGTCATAAGAGTTCATATTTAGATATTTTTATGATAATTAAGTGCTGAAATTGCTTACTATGCCAATAATATGAAAATCGTCGAGTTATAATTATTGTAATGGACTTTAAATGCAATTATTTAAATTGTTATTTAGGATTATTTTGCTAACTTTCTCGTTTTATCCATTTGAATAAAATTTCATTGATAAACATTTTATTCCTGTATCAAGTGACCAAGAACATATTGGCATGCTTTCGGGATTTGGTTATTTATTAAGAAGTCATGGCCCTTGATTATATTGGAAATGCACTGAATCTTCTGTGTGTAACTCCTCAATACATGTCTCCTGCCATTTCATAAAACTATAATTCGAGAATTTAGAACGAAACTGGTCTATCTGCTACTATTTCTATATACAGATGGAGTAGTTTCGCCCGAAGCCCTCGAACTGTTATTAAATGACTCTGTTCCATTATTAAAGTCTTTGTATTTCGGCCATGTTTAATATTTCGAAGTTTTTCCCATTTGACGAAATTTCCCCCTCGGTGGGGTATTTAGCTGTCGATGAACATGTATTAACACTGAAATGCTTGGGACTTTTAGTAGTATGTTGTTAGTAAACAGTAAAATTTGGCATATGGGGAAAAGGTGCGTTATAGTTTCATATGATGATTTGATTGAACAGTTATTACAAATGATATAATTTGATTTTATCATATTTAAATGCGCAATCCAAAAAAAAACATTTATTCTTTATGAATTTAGTCTATTTTACTTGCAAGAGTTGCACCAAAACAATGCAATCAGATCTCTGTCGAATTTCATTTTTTTTTGACAGTTTGGGCTGGAATATTACTTACTATGTATAGTCAGCAAAGGTGTCAGTGTTGTTTCCTTAAAGAGTTTTTAGTTATCTAAGATTTGGCACCAAGATTGTTAAGATCGGTGAAGATTTGATGAAAAATGCGCTGAAAATTTGAGATGCTAGTGATATAATATTCATAATTTTTTCCATATACTTTATTTTTGTCAATACTTATGATGTTTGCATGATGTTTTTTAGTTGTTGTTGTTGTTTTTCTCTCGTTTTTTTATGTAAAGAAGCTATCCGTAGCTTTCTTCTATTTGAGTACCAGCTCGTGTCTGAAATAATGCACCTAAGGGCACCGCAGGTTTTCCTTCACCACTAAAGCTGGAAAGTCACTATATGACCTTTATATAGTGTCGATGTTACGTAAAATAGAAAAAAATGAAATAAAACAAAGAAGAAGAAAAACAAAAATAGTCTTTAGAAAATTTAATTTATGCACTCTTTTCAGATATTTTGTACATAGTAAAAGATACATAATAAAATTTATAACAAGATGAAATAACAGACATCGAATTAAACGCATTATTATCTCTACATTCACTAGAACCAGTCCTCATCGCTTGAACCCGACACGTCCACTTCCGCTTCCTGTTTCCATTTACCCCACGAGAAATAGTCGACTCGGAGATCAGTCTCTGCATAATCTCTCACCATACGAGCAATGGTGACTCTTTTACGCGCCCAATCCCGATAACACTCTCCGCTACAACATGTTTGGTAGAAGGTATTGGACATGCTAAGCAGACGACGCTTTAAAAGCTTCTTGTAGAGAGGCTGGATCGTACGACTTGTTCTAAAAATAGGAGAAGGTGGCATACTTGGTCCTGCTTTACATACGCACGATCTAGGACATGGAATTATTCTATTTTTGGAGTTGAGATATTTATACGGATTGCCCTCATTCATAGAGTCATTATCAGAGCTTGAGGAATCTGAGCTTGTGTTAGAATCGGTACATGAACTTGAGCTTGAACATGAGCTAGAGTCTGAGCCAGAAGAACTCGAATCTGAGCTCGAGTCTGAACTAGACGAACTCGAATCACTGCTGAAACTAAATCTTGAGTCGGAAGAGCTTTGCCTGTTAAGTTCTTGATACCTTGAAGTTTTCACTCGTTTTATCTTGTGACGAACATTCTCTTCATCGCAATACTTTCTTTTTTCGCCACTTGATAAGTTGTTGGAAAGACTTCGTTGAACTGAAGGCAAAAATAAGAAATTACGTTTAGATTACATTCATTCTATAGTTTTAAATTGTTTTGCAAAACAAAATTAGATTTCAAAAATAAAACTTTTATTTGTTTACATCTGTAGAAGCATTATTGCACACACAAATATCATATGTAACTTGATCTGTATTGCGAGTACAAAAATGCGTTTGAAAATTATTAACGCTTT